AGGAGAAGGAGTAGGGAAGAGGAAGAAGAGGGAGGAGGAGGTAGAGGAGGAGGAGGAAAGGAGAGAAGGAAGAGGAAGAGTAGAGAAGAGAATAAGAGGAAGAGAGGAGGAAGAGGAATAGTACGTGGAAGATTAGGGGGAAGAGGAAGAAGAAGGAGGAGGAGGAAGAGTAGGAGGAAAGGAAGAAGATGAGGAGAGGAAGAGTACGAAGGAGGAGGAGAGGAAGGAGAGGAGGAGGAAGAGAAGAGTAAGGAAAGGAAAGGAGGAAGAGGAAAGAGTATGAGGAAGAGTAGGGGGAAGAGGAGGAAGAGGAAGAAGAGGAGAAGAGGGTGGCACACTAGTACACTGGTTACTGGTACACTAACATTTCTGTCTGTCCTATTTGTCTGTCTGTCAAGCTCCCTGTCTATCTGTCCTATCCGTCTAGCTATCTGTCTCAGAAGCCACAAGACTGTGTCATCATTTTACTCACATCTTCCAAGCAGAGTAAAGCACTTTGTCTGGATTTCCTTGGGTTTATCCTAGGAATTATAATATGTATACTTGTAATTTATGTGTAACCTGGAGACAGAGATGATAGACAGATAGAAAGAGAGAGGACAGATTGAATGAGTTAGAATGAGGGAGAAAGATTAAAAAAACACCATTAGTGTATGACACCATGTTTCAGAGTTCCACAAGCTGCAGAACTAATGAGGAATATGTTCAGTGACTGTATATTGGGTATATATATAATAGAACATAATAATAAACAATGTTTTGTATTGTTTGTTTGTAAACAAGTTGTAAACATTATATTGATAATTATGTTTGTGTGCTTAATGTGTTGTATACAACAGTGGTATATAATGTACATTGCACCTTACTTTGTCTCACAGGGCCACATAAGTTTATGTGAAAAAATAAAATAGTGAAAAAAACAACAAACCTTCAATAACAAGTAAACCTAAAGTTTACCGGGTGAGCGGCAGTCCCGCGCGCGGTTGCCATACGCGGCTCATTTTCTGCAAACTTCATGCATCAATCTCCGTAAGTATTGATGGTAAATTTTTTGTTTATCCTATAATGGTAGAAAAAAAAACTCTATTTTTTCATAAGAAAAAAATAATTTTTTTTTTTTTTTTGAAATTTGGCCGACCCTGAGAACGAGTTCGGAGAGGGCCTGTCGACCCTCAAAAGGGTTAATAGATAGTAGGTTTAAGATTTTTCGGAGGGATGTCTGATTGATTCCCCCTAGTGCTCCAATGATAGCAGAAGAGACCCACCAAAAAGAGAAGCGGTTGTGTGTAATGTTTCTGAGGATAAATAAAATTAAGAATATTGGGGCAAGTTTTTGGATTGTTATGAGAATATTAATCTGGGTTCATTTAAGACCTTCTAATGGACTTGGGGAAAATCAAAAATGGAACGGAGCGGGCCCCTAGTTTAAGGAGAAGAGCTAAGGAAATAAATGAGAGCGAGACTATTGGAATAAAAAATGTTAAGGTTTGAAGATAGAATAATAATGGCTGAGCCAAGGGCTTGGGATTAAGAAATATATCAAGGAGGCTTCGATGGAAGTTGAATTTCTTTTGATGAGATTAAAAGTGATAAATGATATTAAGATTAAGTTCGAGGCCAATTCATGGCTTGAAAATCATGAGGAAGAAGAAACGGCCATGGAAGGATCCTGACAAAAGTGAGAGTATAGAAAATGATTTTAAGAGTGGAGAATGAAATTATAAAGAGAGATTTTCTCATAAATGAGTATGAGCCCATTAGCTTGAAACTTAGCTTATCTTTATAGTACATGTAGAATGTAATAGGGACAAAAAAGGTTTGATCTTTCGGGGATTGGTGCGATTCCAATTTACATAAAAAAGGTGTTTAGGGACTAAAAGGGGTAGGGGTATAGGTGGTCTTAAAGATCTGAAATCCTCTTTGAATATCTGCTGTTCGTAGTAGATTTTGAGAGGGCAGAGGGGTAAGGTTGTCTGAAAAAATAAAATTGAAAAAGCATTAAAGGGGGGTGTAAATTTTGTATTTTTTTTATTTTAAGCATATATATATACATTTTCTTTGTATGAAAGTGATGCAATTAAGTGTAATTGCATGAGTAAGTTAAAATTTTATACTGTAAAGAAGGACGGTACATTGAGCCTGCCGATTATTACAGCTATAAGTAGAACCCTTCGTGAGAAAGGGATTCTACTTATACCTGTATTAATCGTCTCCTTCTAGATTCCCCCATTTTCACGAAGATATTCCTAACAGATGATCATGAGAAGATAAAAATGAAGCTATTACTTCTTTATATTAACTTCCGAAAGATACACTGAAAAGAGATATGAGTATAGTTGATTATAGCAGTAAATAACTAATTAATGAACAGCTTATATATATAAATTTATTATTATGTGCTAGCTCAAGTGATATAAATACTTAAATGAGATAGATAATAACCTGTGCGCAGATACACTATGAGTATTATATATAGATTAATAGATTATAGCAGTGAACTAATTAATAAGGTGACTTGATATATATGTATATTATGAATTGTGCTAGCTTCAAGTATATAAATACTTAAATGAGATAGATAATAACCTGTGCGCAGATACACTATGAATGTCATAGATATATATTAATAGATTATGTGATTACAAGATTAATGAATGATTCGAGAGAGTATTTAACAATTTAAAGAAATGTATATATTATATAGACATAAGGAGTGATGGGAGAATTTGTAAATTAATACGCAGTTTTTTATGATGATCGTAGTTTATTTGTTGAGAATTAAGTTTGTAGATTCAAAGTAAGCTAAAGATTAGCATTTCAGCTTACTTGAAAAGGTTGTCGCAGGGGTGACTTTATTTGGTTGTTATGAAGACTTGCTATTATATGATTAGAAAAATATTTTTAGGTTTTAAGTAAGGTAAATAAAGGAAATAATAGTTTGGCGATAGAGATTAGTACCTGTACAGGAAGTGAGAATATTTTTTAGTTGAAATAATGGGAAGGGTTTTATTAGTTTAAATTAAGTACTTGTGTATTTTGGGATGACTTTACAATAAATATTGATAAAATATCTTCCCGAAATAACGAAGAGCTAAATTAAAGGTCGAGTTTTTTGTGGTAAAAAAATTCAAAACCTATTTATAGTGAAATGTTAATCAGTCTTAAGATATCTGGTTTTTTTTTTTAAAATTCAATTTTTTCTTTGCATTTAAGGTAAGGCATGGCTTAGGAACAGAGGGCGCTAGCTCTTTGTTTAATATTTTATGTAAAAAATAATAGAAAGGTATGTTTAAACTAGGCTTAGGGGTAGCTATGTTTACAAGGGAGTTGTATCTGAGGCAACAAGGAGAGGAGTATTATTATTTTTTTAAGTATAGGAAAGACTTTTTATGAATTTAGTTTAAAGAATTTAAAGTGAGTGTATTAGTATATAAGTTGTTTGTTTTAAAAAATAAATTTTGGAAAATTAATATGAGATTTATGAAAAGGGTATGAGTATAAGGAATGTCGGCAAATAGGGCTCTTCCGCTGTGTAATCAAAAATCAGTCCCTGTATGAGAGTTATAAAAGTCTGACCTGCCCATTGGGACTAAAAGGCCGCGGTATTTTGACCGTGGGGCCGAAGGTAGCATAATCATTAGTCTTTTAATTGAAGGCTGCAATGAAATATTGGACGAGAGGAAGCTGTCTCTAATCTCGGAGATTGGATTTCAACTTTTAAGTGAAAAGGCTTAAATGAGTTTAGAGGACGATAAGACCCTATAAAGTTTAATAATGAAGTTGTTAAGAGTGTTTAAGGTGTTAAAGTTTAATATCAGCAGGTGTTTATTGGAGGCGACTAGGATATAAAATTATATAACTGTTTTTTTTTGTTTAAATCAGGAGATATTTGTTCATATGATTCCCTTTTTCAGGATTAGAGAAAAATAACTTTAGGGATAACAGCGTAATTTTTTTAAAGAGTTCTTCTATCGACGAAGAGAGTTTGCGACACCTCGATGTTGAATTAAAAATTTCTCTGTGGGTGTAGCAGAAAATAGTTTACTTAAAATATTAATTTTGGTAGATTAAAAGAAAAGTCCCTGCTTTTTTCTGATTATTTATAAAACTTTTCAAATTATTTAATCCTTTCGTACTAAAATAACTTTGAACTCCTTAGAAGATAGAAACCAACCTGCTGACTTTTCGCCGGTCTGAACTCAAATCATGTAAAAATTTAAAGGTCGAACAACCTTCTTCTGTTAACTGCTACCACCACACAGAGAAAATTTTAATTCAACATCGGAGTCGCAAACTCTCATTGTCGATAAGTACTCTTAAAAAAAAAATACGCTTGTTATCCCTAAAGTAAGTTTATTTTCAATACCAAAAAAAGGATCATATGAACAAACAAGAAAAGAAAAAAAATATCTCTGATTTAAAACCAAAAAACAGTTATTATAATTTTATATCCTAGTCGCCCCAACAAAACACCCTGCTGATAATAACTTTAACACCCTTAAATCACTCTTTACCAACTTCATGTGATAAACTTTATAGGGTCTTATCGTCCCTCTAACTCATTTAAGCTTATTTCACATGAATAGTTAAATTCAATCCCGAGATAGAGACAGCTTCCTTCTCGTCCCAACCATTCATTCCAGCCTTCAATTAAAAAGACTAATGATTATGCTACCTTCGCCACGGTCAAAATACCGCGGCCTTTTAGTCCCCAATGGGCAGGTCAGGACTTATATAACTCTCATACAGACATGTTTTTTGATAAACAGGCGGAAGAGCCCTAATTGCCGAATTCCTTATAAACCATTACCCCTTCATAAATCTCATTAATTTTCAAAATTTTATTTAAAACAAACAACTTATATACTAATACACTCACTTTAAATCTTTAAACTAAATTCATAAAAAGTCCTTTCCTACCTAACTTAAAAAATAATAAATACTTCCTCTCCTTGCCTCAGATACAACTCCCTGTAAACGTAGCTACACCCTAAGCCTAGTTAAACATACCTTTCTATTTATTTTTATAACTAAAATAATTAAACAAAGAGCTAGCCCCCTCTGTTCCTAAGCCTTGCCTTACCTTAATGCAAAGAAAAAATTGAATTTTTTTCAAAAAAAAAAAACCAGATATCTTAAGACTCGATTAACATTTCACTACTAAAATAAGGTTTTGAATTTTTTTACCACAAAAACTCGACCTTTTGATGTAACTCGAGAGGGAACATATCAAGGGCTTCATACCCAAGCCGTCATAAAAGGCCTCCGTGGGGGAATAATTTTATTTATCGTCTCTGAGGTACTATTTTTCTTCTCATTTTTTTGGGCGTTCTTTCACAGAAGTCTTGCACCTACAATTGAAATCGGAATATTGGATTAGGGTCCGATTTAGTAAATTATAAAAAGTTTGATGAAATTTTGTGCCAGCAAACGCGGTTTAGACTTAAAAGGCATAGTAAAGTATTTTTAGTTTAGGTTATTCTTATGTTTAAAGGTAAATTGTAATTTATATAATAAAAGGTGAAATTGGTTTTTATTAGGAAAATAAATGGCAGTTTCAACTAGTAACTAGGACAGGAAACTCGGATATTAAGATATAAACTAGGATTATGAGATACCCTAAATACTTAGAAGATAAAAATCAAACCTTGAATGTTAATAGATATGGTCTTTTAAATTCAAAGAAATTTGCGGTATTTTAGTCTTGTTAGAGAACCTGTTTCTGCAAATGATACAACACGAAAAATCATACTTACTCTTGTTAGCAGTTTGTATACCGTCATTATCAGATACCTTTTGTTGAGGTAGTTATTGAAAATTTGAGAAGTAAAATAAATTAGATCAAGGTGCAGTTTAATGCGTGAGAAGAAATGGGGTTACAATAAAATTATTTATTCTAGCGAATCAGTAATAGAACAGTTTCTGTGAAGGGGGATTTAATTGTAACACAAATTTCGAAAGTTAGTGTGGTATGAGAACTAAAGTATTACAATCGCCCGTCGGCTCTGCTTAAGGTGGAATAAGTCGTAACATAGATGGTGTACTGGAAGGTGTACCAGGAACTAAATTTACTTTGGCAGAGGATATGCGTTAAATTTAGAATTTAAATTATATGAAGAGCACTCTATAAGGTAAAAGTATTGGGATTGTCTGTGGTTATTAGAATTGTAATATTTAAATGTTGATACTTTTTGTGTATTAGTTGGAGTAAGCAATTTGTAACCTCTCTTGAGCGTATAATTTTAGGTTATATGCAAATCGTAAGGTTCCTAATAAATTGGGCATTTTGGGTACTTCTCCTTTTCGGTGCTATTAAATTATTTGTAAAAGAGCAGAACTCACCGGTATATCCGAATTTTTTACCTTATTATTTGTCGCCGGTAATCGGTTTATTTAAGCTTTAATTTGTGGAGGGTTATTCCCTACGATTTAGGATTAGTGGCTTTTTGATATAGGAATGGTATTTTTTTTATGTTTTTAAGATAAGGGTCTTATCCTTTGTAAGGGCCGGATGGGCTTCAAATTGTATGTATTCTTTATTAGGGAGTCTTCGTGCGTAGCACAGACTATTTCATATGAGGTAGGTTGGCTTTAATTTTGTTATCTTATGTGTTTTTAGTTGGAAGATTTAGGTTCATAGAATTAAGATATTATCAGGAAAGGATGTGGTTTGTTTATGATTAACATTTCCATTATCTATAGTTTTGGCTTGGTCTTGTTTGGCAGAGATAAAATCGCACTCCTTTTGATTTTGCAGAAGGGGAAGTCTGAGTTGTGTTTTCTGGTTAATACCGAGTATAGGAGCAGGTGGTTTGTATTAAATTTTTTTAGCTGAATATGTTTAGAATTTTTGTTATGAGTGAGTGCAAACATTGTTGTTTTTAGAGGGAATTTTAAAGGTTAGGATTTTTTTATATAAATTTGGTGATGCAGGTTTACGTTTATTTGAGTGCGGGGGACTTTACCGCGACTGCGATACGATAAATTGATGTATATGGCTTGAAAAAGGTTTCTTCCTATATCATTAAATTTTTTAATTTTTTTCCTTAGGGTAAAATTAATTTTAGTGTAAACTAAATTTATATGTTGGTGGGTACTGGAAGATTCTTCCATAGAGGAGATAAATAAAACCACCCCTAAAAATAAGAACCTTACTCAATCATAAATCAAAGTTACTACAACAGAAGAAGAATTTAAAGAAAAAAGCTCTCATTCAATTACATAAGAAGACCTCGAGCTTAATCTCACCAAACTAAATAAAATAAAACCCAATGCCCTAAATAACAAAAACACTAAACTCACTAAATGACTATAGGTACCCCACATCATGATTTAAAATAACTTTCTTATATCTTCGATACCAATCTTCTTGTATCCACATAAATTAATATTATACTCACAACATCCTAATCTCACTACCCAACTATTTCGACATGTTTTTTTCCCCCACAACACCCTCCATTCTTTCTCCAATATACATAACTTTTCAATTCTATAATTTCTTTTTAAAATATTCACACATTACCTTTATTTTCAGTAAAATCCCCCAGATTTCATTAAATTTCTTAATCCAACCCTCCCCATACCCTCTCACATCCACCCACATTTCTTCACATCCACTCACACCCATCTCCCAACACACCTCTTCTGAACTCACACAACAAAAATCACACATTTCACATCCCAAATGCATCTCATCACCCATCTCAATCCCCTAAAATCACTGTATCCAAGTTATCACAAAACCCTTTCTATGACCACCTAAACACACAACACCACACACACACACAACACACACACAAAACACACACACAGACGACACACACACACCGCACCCACACACACACACACACACACAGGAGAGATAGGGGGGACATGATAACGACATACAAAATACTGAAGGAATTGACAAGGTGACAAAGACAGGATGATTCCAGAGATTGGACACAGTAACAAGGGGACACAGTTGGAAGCTGAAGACACAGATGAATCACAGGGATGTTAGGAAGTATTTTCTTCAGCACAGAGTAGTCAGTAAGTTGAATAGTTTTGGGAAGCGATGTAGTGAGGCAGATCCATACATTAGCTTTAAGCAGAGGTATATAAAGCTCACGGCTCAGGGAGAGTGACCTAGTAGCGATCAGTGAAGAAGAGGCGGGGCCAGGAGCTCGGACTCGACCCCCGCAAACCTCAACTAGGTGAGTACAACACACACACACACACACACATCGAACACCTCACTTTACTTTGAACACCTTCAAAACACTCTCATACATCATTTGAGACCCCCTTTTCTAAATATCTCTTAAGAAATATTCTCTCATCCACAACCTTTATCATCTCCACTACAGAACACCCCAAGATTAATTCGAACACTCTCATAAACATTTGAATACTCACAAAATGCCTTTTGGAACATTTCCAAACAAACACTGAAGCACTCCAAATATCATTTTGAATACTCCCAAATAAGATTTATCATCTCCTAATTTTAATCTACACTTACACATTTCATTAAATTACACCAAAACTCCATCCCGCAAACTCCTCCTCATCTCCTGACTTTAACAACATTATCACAAAAACTAATTCATACACTTATGACATGAGACCATTTTAACCAAAACTAACACAAACACACCCCCAAGACACCACACTTTACTTGTGGCAACACCAAAAACAACATCAATTACCTACGATTATACTCCAAATCAACAATTTGAACACATTCCAAAAACATTCATAAAAACTCCTTTGAATACTACCAAAACACCACTGAATATACCAAAACAGCACCGAATACGGCCCAAACAACACTAAAAAATCACCAGAAACTAAAATCAACACCCCACCAACTAACCATTTTATTGAAACCCCTCAAATCACTTTTAGCCATGCGACGATCCCCCACTCACGCTCAAACCACTAAAGATCGCAGAAAACACTAATTTTATAATCATTTCATTTCACACAAAAAATCACAATCAACCAACTACAAACAATATCATAATACACTCCTCTCACTACCTCCACACACACCTCCCATGAACATCACACTCCATCCTGCGTTTACCTATGGCGAACAGCGACGTCACAACACCCCCCACTTTTACTTCATATACTTAACGAGAGAAGTTCTTGTTTTTCAGCCTGTTATATATTATCTCCAATATCTAAGATCCCCTCTACTAAGATCGACACATTTTTTGTAACACATTTCTCTTAAAATATCATCATAAACGAAGATCACTTGAAACTATCTATACTTTTACTAAGATCAGCATAATAATTTATCCTCTAACTCACCCACCAATTTACAATTCTCATTCACTACTTACACATTCCATTAAATTACATCTCATCCACCAAACTCCCTCCCTCATTCTCCAACTTACAACATAGCACAAAAAAAACTCACTCATACACTTATGACATGAGACATTACATATCTAACACACTGACTAACTTTGAACCAACTCTGAACACCCCACTGATCTTCTCAAAAAATATTCTGCACATCATTTGAAACACCTTCAATAAAACACTATCAAAACACCTCCGAATACTCCCAAAAGACTACTGATTACTACCAAATCACCACTGAATATTACCAAAACAACCATCAAAACACCAGAATCTAGAGTATAGCAGCACAAGCTATCATCCATTTTATAGAAATTCCCTCAAATCACTATAACCAAGAACTCTCCCTTCCCATGGTCGGCAAAAAAAAAAAAAAAAAAAAAAAAATTGAACACAAACCTAATACGCAAACACTTAGTACATGATCACCATCAACTGATAACATATCTTTGTAACACACACAAAATCTAAGACAACCACCAACAACAAATCACCCATGTTCACTTACCTCCAAAAAAAATCTCACTAATATCACAGAAAACACTCATTTTTTTATAAACAATTCACATCAAAAAATCATATTTGACAATATCTAAGCGCATCACACCTCACTACCACCAACACACGCTGTCACAACAACTCCACGGACCGGCGAGGTCACCTCCAGTGACGTCACAACACTCCCATCTGTGTTTACTTGGTGGTCACATCACACCCAACCCCACCTTAGTTTCACACCTGTTGTACCCACAATATTATATGAACACTATATCCAGACGATTACCAGCTTTTATGACGCCCACCACTAATAATCATCAGAAAACACTCAAATTTTTTT